GATCCCCTAGAAAGGACATGTAACAATACTCTCGATACTCGATAATGACTCGGAAGAACAAGATACTGTAAGACTGACTTTTAGAGGAATACAGCTGCCTCTAAGGGACAGCATATTGGTTTTGTTTCAATTGTTGATTATCGTACAATTTTTGTCAAAAAAAGAAAAAAAAAAGTCATTTTCGTCAATTTCGCGAAATTAAAGACTCGCGAAATGTGCCGAGAAAATTTTCGCGAAATTTAAGTCCCGCGAAAATAAAGGAGAATAAGGTAAAAACCTGTTAAGGTCTATTGACCATCTCTATCAGTCTCGGTTGAATAAGGCCTGTCTACCGTGATGGTTTTTTATAATGGGCTGTTTTCTCTTAAAAGGTGTTCGCTGTCTGCTCTGATAAACTTATCGTTTTCATGCAGTCCAATCATTCTGTATAGTCTAGGTTGTCGCGTAAGGGTTTCCGACAAATAGTCGCTCTCAATATGGTTGTATACATATCTTCTTTAATAAATACGGTCACAGAGTTCCCCTTCTATGGCACGCAATGGTCGGCAGAAAGGTTAAATGTGGCAGCCCAGTTAAACTCGCTTTTCGGCGAGTCAAGGTTTGTTTTAATAAAATTTGTATTTTTTACTTAATTACTAACATGACCTGCCTATTACGGACACCCAGTTAATATGGATACTTCTGTGGCCCCTTCGTTGGACCTTCCTAACAACCCCGTTCCTTTACTTTTATTCACTTTCGCTTCCACGATCCTGCAGTAACAAGTGTTTGCTGGCAGTGTAAATGTGCATTTTTGTTTCCTTTGTATGCAACATAATAAGAACTTGAAAAGTATGAGCACAACGTTTCCATGACATCATGTACATCCGGTGTACACCCTCCGAAATATTGAAAATTGTTTTCGAGAATTTCCATGCACTGACTCAGTTGAAAAATGTCCAACATGGATAAATCATTTGATAAATCATATATCAGGGTATCACGTATGGTATCCAACAATCAGATTTACCCTGTTTTGAATTCATGATTATGGAACGTCATATATCATTAGGCCACAATGTAGTCATATCACTCTGTTTACTTTCACTATGTAATATTTGTAACGGGTCATTGAGGCCATGTAAAACTAGCACAACTTACGTCACCGCTACACTCTCAAAAACAACTCGAACACCGTCATTATCAAGTCACATGACTCCAGACTTCCCACGCTAAGGAAATCCCAGATGTACACTAGACAATACATTAGCAAATCGTACGACAAGCATTGCGTGACCAAGCGAAAAAAAAGTGGGCAAGGAGGCGAGATTTTCCTTTCCTCACTGCGAATAGCAAAGGAAAAGAAAGGTTCAGTTCGCCGCCATGCTCACGATGCTGAATGAAACACACTGAATTCCCTTCTAAAATGGCATTTTATTCAAAGGAATTTTTCCGCATTTTGTTTTTATAGTTAATTGTCTAAGGAACTCGGATGATGTTTCAATCTGGCAATATGGAGCTAAGGCATGCTTCGCGGAATAACAAAGACCTTGATTTTAATGAATGATCATTCAACAGTGTTCAAGTCCCAATAAATTTTGTAGTTAAGAATTAAGGTATTCATCAAATCCAACTCGAAGTCAGGATACTCTAGCAAACGTTTGGTCCAAGAATTAACTACAAGAAAGTGGTCACGGCTGCCACTACAACGACGACTCATTCCAACCGATACAAATTTGATTACAAAGCTTAACTTTTCCACAAGATAAAGCACTGCAAAAAGAAACGATATCGTGCATATTTCATTTCATACTGTTAGTTTGAAAAGCCAAGGAGTGCATCACTCCTTTTTTGATTCCCAAAATGAAATCAATTGAGTTTTTGCTAATGTGGTCATATCGCGGAAATCAGACATTCAGACAACTCTCAACCAGATTGTTTTTTACGGATATCCTGAGATAATATGTGGGAGTATAATGTATGAATGTATTGTCAGTATTTTCTTATGTTTTTTTTTTCCTTTTGGAAATACAAGATCAGAGGTAGTCAATAGTTGCATGACGCGATACTGGACCATTTCTTCATATTATTTCGCCTATTAAAAACAGAGACCCCAACTGAGTTATCTCAAATCCGTTAGATCCGTACTAGTAGTCATTTCTAGATCAGGGTGCGCAAACTCAATAGATACATTTCTTACCTCAGAATATTCTCAATCTCAATGAACTTTACGTCCAACAGATGATTCCGTGACTGTATTGTTTGGTGAAGAAGACGCAACGCAATTTGTATAGTATCATGTGACACTTAGGGACTTTTCCCGGAAGCATTTTGTCCTGTCTCTGTGCCACTAGCAGCAATTGAGTTCTCTCGCACTTTAAAGAATCTGTGAAAGACGCCCAATTATTCAAAGAGGAAACCTTCTTGACTAGACGTAGCAAAGGTCTAACTATAGCAAATCTTAGGACTAAATAAGGTAAGAAAACAAACCTGTTAGTTTCGTAGTAGCTCGATCTAGAGGTAGACAGGTTTTCTTTGGCTCCAGAATAGTGTTAAGTGAATGCATTCACAATGATTTCCGTTTTTTCATCTAGCAAACATTATATGCACCAACCATCAAAATATCAGTTTAATGGCAAGCACGGTATCAGACCCGCTCGATTAAACAACACTAATATAACTAGCAATAAGATTTTGGTAGTCTGCAACACAATATTTCTTTGTTATTGTTTTTAAAATCGTTCAGTTGTATTTCAGAATTTCGTTATATGTCGAAGGAATGATCAATGACAATCGGTCATGGCAGCATTTATAACCGTGCTTGTTCGTTAACAGTTTTAACGTACTTACGTTTCGATTTCGCTAGAGATCAAACTTATATGATCCCTGTTCCCTGAAGTTAGATCACATGATTTATCCACTCAGTAAGTATACACGTGATTAGAAAACAGGGAAACGAAACACTGACAAACTGAGGAGCGTAACCAAGGGCTAACATGTTTGCTCCTTACATTTTTATAGGCGATGGTCGTTTATTAGCTTTGAGGGAACCCGGCCATTTTGAGGAAAATTAATATTGTACATTTGGTATTCGTAGTAATACATGAGCAGGAGATCTCAGCAAGCTCTGCTGAGCTTTTCAGAGGACTTAAGGTCCCCGACTTTTCTTATCATTAAATTACTAACACATTGTTTGTCACTTAATATTACAATTTATAAAATAACTGAGATTGTACGTGATCTGACCAGCACAATAGGTAAGGAGACTAGACGTGAAGGAGTAGCTGTGTAGGATTTGCGATAAATAGAACATTTAGGTAATTGAAACCTACAAACCGTCACCTCTATCATATTTGGCATCACTCCGTGTTATAAGAGCTTTTAAGCAATTTTCATTTTGTTATTTTCGTATGGATTTTTTACTTTATTGTTTTTATTATCTTTTTAAACTTAATTTCACCTAGTTGTATTGGGTCCAAAAAATATATTATGTATCATGTGATTTAGCATTGTTTTTTAAATTTGTTTTTTACACTTTAATTTTATCTAGTTGTATTCTGTCCCCTTAGCAGAATATAATTATTTGGTTCACTTTAAGGCTATTAACTGAATATGATCCTTATCATTGTTTACTGATTGCAGCCACGTTTGCCACTGATGTGCGGCCGGATAAAGCAGTGTATGTATTTAGCCTTGATGTGTTTGTTCGTTGTATACAGAGAAACCAGGGGAACGAACGGAACATGTGTTTGCTATGATAACAATGGGGGTGTCTACAACCTTCAACCACTGCAAAGAACTGATGGGAATCCCAGGTTTGAAAGCCGTTACTGACATATTTTAAAAGCAGCTTCGAATACAGGAAAAAACTGCTAGTAAGAATCTATTGGTTTGAAAACCTGCTGGCAGAAATTTACTATATATTTTAATACTCAAACTGAAGAACCTGTTTAGCTAAAAAGGATCAAGCAGGTTCTTAAATGTGGGATACATTAAAATATTATGATAAATATTTTAATCAAGGAGTCTGACTTTGAGATTGAAAATTTATATTCAAGAAAATACCTTTTTTGCATGTATAAAAAAATAATTTATTTATTTTTATTTTTTTATATACAACTCTTTTGCGGAAATAGCACTAAATATCCATTCTGTAATCAGTTTTATAGGCATATCATAACACAATTGTGAATAAATACTGTATACTGGGTTTTCNGGAACGAACGGAACATGTGTTTGCTATGATAACAATGGGGGTGTCTACAACCTTCAACCACTGCAAAGAACTGATGGGAATCCCAGGTTTGAAAGCCGTTACTGACATATTTTAAAAGCAGCTTCGAATACGGGAAAAAACTGCTAGTAAGAATCTATTGGTTTGAAAACTTGCTGGCAGAAATTTACTATATATTTTAATACTCAAACTGAAGAACCTGTTTAGCTAAACAGGATCAAACAGGTTCTTAAATGTGGGATACATTCAAATATCATGATAAATATTTTAATCAAGGAGTCTGACTTTGAGATTGAAAATTTATATTCAAGAAAATACCTTTTTTGCGTGTCTAAAAAAATTATTTTTCTATTTTTAATTTTTTATATACAACTCTTGTTGCGGAAATAGCACTAAATATCCATTCTGTAATCAGTTTTATAGGCATATCATAACACAATTGTGAATAAATACTGTATATTTCAGGACCAAAGCCAAGTTTTTTTTATTTTTATATCTTCATAGAAATTAAGAACCAACTGAGCCTAAATTGTCAATAACTGCCCCAAAATGCAGGAACCTTTTTAGCCAGACTTCAAAAAATGTAGTTTCTTAAACGCGGGTTTTCACTGTGCCAGTGTAAATTACTGCTTGGCAAGGAAATTGTGTATAAATTGTAAGTCAAGAACACCATCCGTGTCCTCCTGGAACTCCAACGATCTATAAATGACCCTATTATTTGTTACTCCAACAGATTTACGAAGGAAGGCAGAGGAAAGATGTCTGGTTATGAGTATGCATACAATCCCTGCACCTCATTTGTAATAAACGCGCCATTACCTCACCCAAATGATTGTCTTGATGATGTAGCGGTGAGTTTTTTGATTGAGTGTACACATGAATTAGCGCTTTCAAAAATTACTCTCTCTGTGAGGTAACGAAAATGTTTCCACGTTAGGAAAACAGCGGACATTTAAACTGTACGAATTTTGAAATTTATTCGTTGTAGTCTCTAAGTTTAAATCTGAATGAGTCGTCAACGAAGTTAATTAATTCATCAATACACACCTGCACCTACCTATAATAACATCTAAATTTTTCAAAAGCAGAACAGGGCAAATTTAGTAATACATTTCATATGCCTGGAAAAATACAGCCAATCCGCAACGCACAGTGTTAACAGTCAGTGTCATCATAAGTAGGCAAGTGCTTCAGTCAACGACTTTTCCAGCACCGAAGACGCAGAGCGGTGGTCAGGACTTGACCTCTGAGTCTCCCGACAAGAAGTCATACCGCTCATGAATTGTTTATCATTTCAGATATGTTGTTGGCCACAAAATGGTGCTAGTTTCACAAAAATTGGAGATCAAAGTACGGCACACTGTGGTGAACCGACAAGGATGCAGCTAATATACAAGACTAAGTACGTAAGGCCGTAATGTACATTATTGCTGGCGAGCAAAATGCGAGCCCGCAGTTGTATTCTTGAATAACTGATAGCCGGAATTTCAGACGTTACTTCGAGTCGCTTACTCCCTCAGTAACGTCTAAATCGACCGGCCATTAATGCCTTCCAGTGACGTCACTACCCGAAAACAAGGTAGTGATTTTGATTGGTTGATTATCCAAACATTCGCATAATTATGTATGATTTATGTATAATTTTAGCGGAACTGTCGTTTGATATTCAACGGATCGTGTGCTTGCATGGAGTTCAAAAATTTCGAGAGTCGTTAAATTGAACTACAAATGAAGAATNATGAATTGTTTATCATTTCAGATATGTTGTTGGCCACAAAATGGTGCTAGTTTCACAAAAATTGGAGATCAAAGTACGGCACACTGTGGTGAACCGACAAGGATGCAGCTAATATACAAGACTAAGTACGTAAGGCCGTAATGTACATTATTGCTGGCGAGCAAAATGCGAGCCCGCAGTTGTATTCTTGAATAACCGATAGCCGGAATTTCAGACGTTACTTCGAGTCGCTTACTCCCTCAGTAACGTCTAAATCGACCGGCCATTAATGCCTTCCAGTGACGTCACTACCCGAAAACAAGGTAGTGATTTTGATTGGTTGATTATCCAAACATTCGCATAATTATGTATGATTTATGTATAATTTTAGCGGAACTGTCGTTTGATATTCAACGGATCGTGTGCTTGCATGGAGTTCAAAAATTTCGAGAGTCGTTAAATTGAACTACAAATGAAGAATCCTTGTATTCCGCCTTTACTCTCACGAAACCTGTCACTTATTTTTAGAGGATATCCTGGAGAAGAGTGGCACTACAAGGTAACACTGATATGTAACCGGACAAAGGAAACGCCAAGCTTTGAACAAGACCCGGATGATTCGTTTGTAAGTGCACTCAAAGAAACCTACTGAAAGTACATAGCTTATCAATATAAGATTGAAATGACAGAGATAACGTCACCTAATATACAGCTACGTTATTTTGGAGTATTAGCCTGAAGGGAAATCCAAAAAAAAGTTTAATTAAGACCTTGATCCAACCTTGTATCTGAATATACAAGGGCAATGCGAGACGGCCAAAGAACATGAAATCCAAGCAGGCGCGAGATAGAGAACCTTTTTAGGGAGAAATAGGACAACTTTTTCAGTCTAAGCCTCATTATTGAAAGTCTCAGACAAAGATAAGCGGCTTTCTGGCTTGAGGAGGTTACTTCACAGCAAGAACAGTAGAATATCAGACCTGCCTAAAGTTTGAACTAATGAACTACTACCAATCTCTGCGGATGAGAAACCAGAAAAAGCAAGCCGTATTTATGTATTTTGAAAACACGCCAACCACGAGTAGCCTTTGTTTTCCCCAGTCAAATGGTAAGGTACAGTGCGCTATCAAAACAAGGAAGTCTCTTAGTTCCCAATGAAATCTTTAAGTAAGGTATGGTAAAACGGGCAACAAAAAAAATCAACTTGTCTAGCAACATTGCTGCAAAATTACATGAAAAATCGATGTTGCGCGTTTTAGCAAACACGCTCAAAGACAAATAAACGTTGGAGACAAAACCGAGGCTTACTTTATCTTGATAACCAATTGCGCCCGCTGGTTTTCCTAGAGCGGATAGGTCGCTTGTGTATTGGTCTTATTGGCTGCCATTCACAAAACCATGCTTTTTAATTTTCCAAAAGACGTTTTCTGAACATTCTCTCCTTTTTTATCCCCACCAAAGTCCCTCATCAGGTACGTTATCCATGTTTCCGTCCATCGCTCTTAGAACTAAAAGACTAGCTGAAAATCATAGTTGTACTTGACCGTTTCAAACTGTGATTGCATATAAGCAGCGTTGATAGAACAAAGCAAGAAAATCAGTATTAAAAACCTTTATCTCCGTGCCTAACAAACCAATCATTCAGAGAAACATTGATCCATAATTAGATTATTAATTCTGGAAAATGAACAGAGTTTTGAACGCCATTTTTTACGGTGGAAAATCTAACAGTCTTTTCAGCAGGACTTTACAACTAAGTGACCCAACCCTTGGGTTTAAAAGTGTCATTGAAATAAAAGAAAGGGATAATGGAGTAAGATACGAAGTTTACAAAGAGGTCCGCATGTTAATGTAATATTTGTAACTGGGTTTTTTTCTTGTTAAAACGAGGATCGTTTCGATGAAAACCCTTCAAGCTCGAGATACCTTCTTGTAATATGCTGGCAAATGGCGCCGGCACTAACGCCAGTGTTTCAGTTTTCAAACACTTGGAACATTCTAAGTAAATTTTCAAAAAGTGACTTATATTAATAGCGTATTAATTATTGGTAATACCCTTAACATTCACTGAAAGTAACAACAAAGGTTTTGCAAAGAGCTCGCGTTTAATCAACCTCTAAGTGGCCCTCTTAGAAAGATGTCCGTCTTATAGAGAGTCAAGTAAAGGGAATAAAGAAAGGCAGGGACCAACTCTCGGTGACCGTTTTACAGAAGTGTCAGTCGTATGCATAATGAAACTTATTTTACGGCCCTTTTCCCCCTAAGGTATATTATTAATGCCAAAAGGATGGAATAACATATTTTTATGCTCTCTTTCACCAGCAATTTTATCTGACTCACAAATGCGCCTGTCCAAATGCTTGCCCATTGGATCCCACAACAACTACTGCCGCATCTACTTCAGGTAAGTTACTCAAAGAGGCCTTGAGTATGAGTTTGAGTTTATACATCAGCTTTTTTTTTTAACATTTTTTCTGCCCCCTCACCGCCCCCTGGAAAATAGTACGATTTACCGTGTATAATAACAATAAAAGATGACTCATCGTGGTTTGTGGTTTATAGGTTATTTCTTAGACAACTTTTCTTTCAATTATGTACCATCGCAGCTAGCCAAGATGATGGAAAAGCCCTGTGGGAGCCACTGTCTATTGCTGTTGGAAGTGTTATATTTGTGATACTTGTAATTTTCGCCATCTTTTGCTTGGTTACAACCCCACAGAATAGGAACGACCACGGCGAAAGGAGACATCTCTTTAATGATCAAGACAGCGGAATCGACGAAAGTAGAAACAGTTTTCCTGACTCCAACCTGGGAAAGAGGATTGCAAATCTTCTGAATGATTCACCGCCAGTATCAAAAATTTCTAGCTCAAATAACGATATAAAGATGCCACCCAAAGACATCTTAAAGAAAACTGAACGTTCTAATGTAGCCGTTTAAGACCACTACTGCTAGATGAAGTGCACGTTAGACCATCCAAACCATGTAATACTAGCCAAACACTTTTGTATAAACATTGATTGCTGGTACATAGAAGCAAAAATTTTATCCTAAACCTTCTGCCATACAGTAGCAAAACAGTGTTCTGGACGTTGTATTTTATTTTCCCAAATGATTTCTCTAATCTGCGATCGACAAATCCCTTTTAGTACCGAGCTATCTCATCATAAACCATGATTTTTTTACATTTTCTTCCTTTTTTTGTATCATGTAGTTCATAATAAAAAGAAAAGGGAAATGACGGAAATGAATTCTTTTCGAATTTTTTCCGCTAAATCCCGTGGACGCAACATTGTAGCTGGCGCGTATAAAAATAATTACTTGCGTTCAGTGTCATTCTGTTGAGCAGCTGTTTCGAAGGTAATGAAGAAAAAACTGCTTCAAGCACTTACTGCGTGCATCATAAACTCTTTAACGACAAAAGCGAACATATTATGTTTGACTGAAGTTATGGATCTAAAGACGCTCGGTAAGCAACTTGAGTTCTAAGGAGCCATATAACAGTTGTTTAAGCACTTAGAGGATTTGTTAGACACTTGCCTGTTCCAGGCGTTCAGATTCCTGTTCCAGGCGTTCAGATTGTACGGCGCAAAGAGAGGTGAGTAGGAAAATCAGCGAGGGGGTGGGGTCGGGGAGTGAGAGCGAAGGAACGCCTGTGGTACTTTTTAGCAAAAGCTGGATTCCTCTCGCCCCCATGGCCTCTGAGTCAATAGCCCATTCGGCCCTCGGCCTCATGGGCTATTGAACCAGAGCCCATTCGGGCTCGAGGAATAATTGTTAATGAACTTAGTACGGTGGATGGCCCCATCACGGACAAACAAGAGTTTACTGAACAAAGGAAGTTAACGACGCTTTAATCAATCTTATTCCCCGGATTACCTGTAGTGTTCAGACGGCGACAGGCTTTGCAGAATCGAAGAGGCTGTCGCTGAATTTTGGACATGAAAATAGAGGAAAGCAAAAGTTTGAAGTACCACCCATCACTGAGACGCGGATGCTTGACCTCATTAAAAAGATTCTCACAATTAAGGCTATCGGCGGTGGTGGCCTTAGTGCAATCAGTCCTAAGTGAGCGGCCCCAGTTCTAGCATCCCCTTTCTGTCGCCAAATGAACCTTTCCATATCAACTGGTTCCTTCTCCTTCGACATGGAAAACTGCTTACGTCTCCCCTTGTTTAAAAATGGCTCTCGCTAAAGACCCTGAAAACTACCGAACAATTTCCATATTGCTTGTTGTATTAAAAGTAGTCGAAAGACATGTCGCAACATCTTCCTTTAACTAGCTCCATAGTTACGAATTGACAGATAACCTTCAATCAGCCTTTTGAGCAAATCATTCTACCGAAGCTGCATTTATAAAATTAAACCAACGAACTTCATCTTAATATGGATATAAATATATGGTTACAGGTTTTAACTTTGTCGATCTTAAAGATGGCCTTGAATGTGATAAATAATGTGATAAATCATGAGCTATCTTTTTATGGGGCCAGCGACTTAGCAGTAAAATGGTCTAGGTCATATCTTACAGGCAAGAAATTGAGAGCGTTCGTGGGAGTTCCTCAAGAATCAATCCTAAGCCTATTCTTTTTCATATGTTTGTAAATAAATCCTTTGATTAAAAGTGACACTACTCTGAACGTTTTAAACTCTTCACGAAATATTTAGTGTTTTTCCAAAATAACATTTTTTAAGAAATGGGCTTTTTATTGATAAATTCGAACAGGTTTCCGCTAAAAAAGACCCTTTTCTTTGAGATTGGTATAATTTGGATCTAAAAGTCCTGACATTAACTCGGAATCCATGAGTTTTTTAACAAAGCTTTATTGTGCTATTTACGGATAAAGAAATAGTTCAATAGTTTGTTTTCGAAGCGGCCGAAAGAAAAGGAGATCATTCATCTCTATTTGGAAAACGTTCTCTTGGTAAGCCAGTTGTTCATGAATTTTTATAAATTAATTTTGAATTCTCTATATTAAGTTTACAAGCGAATGAGGTCCTGAATTTTCATTAGATACCACACTTGTATTCACAGAATGCCAACCTCGTAAGACTGATCTAGGATATACCTATTTCATGACAAAGTTAGAGCATTTTGCGAGTCCACTTCGCCTGGACCAGGCCCTGACGTCAGCGGTAAATTATGGCAGGTGTACGAGCTTGGACAGTCAACTCTGGTCTCGCAAATACTTCAGCATTTACGGATAGAAGTTTAAACTCAACAGAAAACGTTTAAGGTAAGAAAGGTGGGCAATTAAAGCCTCTAGTATATTATACTTCAAGAAGGAAACCTGGTAATCGACTGAACTTTTGCTGTTCCCTTGTATATTTCCGTCTTTCCATAGGTCAGGGAAAACCGAACCGACTAAAAACTAATTAAAAATAACGACAAATCTGTCAAACTAGGTTGGCGATTTATCTCGCTTGAAACCATGAAAATCTTTCTAGCACTAGAGGTCTGTATTGTGGGATCGATTGTGCCCACGGCTATAGTTGTCTCTGGCACTATTAGAATTATTGCTTGCCCAGGTATGATTCTCTGATGATGAATGGGGTTGAATTCGTGAATCGGCGCCGTCATTGTTGTCATTGGCAGCGTAGTCGTTTCTCATATTTCCAGGATTCAAAGCCTGACGTTCGTTGTTGGGATCATTCTGTCTCCTGATACATTGCAAGATTGTCCTTCGGTAGATAAACAATGGAATGGCAATAACAAGAAATGAAAGGGCACCAATCACTGGTATAGGGTACTTTGCACCTAAATAAACAATACACAGATTTAAAACAAACATTGGAGAGTTTTAGATTCACGTTTACGGAAAACGTCAACTTGTTCCACGTGACCATTATTATCACCATCATCATCATCAACAGCATCATCATTATCATTATCAACATCATCATCATCAGCATTATCATTATTATTACTATTATTAGCGGAGCTCTGGCGCGCGAAGCGCACCTGCGGAGCACCATGGGTACGTGAATCTACCCATCCCAGAAAATTTGGTAATCACGTGACCGTACACCGCCCACAGCCCGCCCGTCCGTCCGCACTACAGGGCAACCAATGTTCAATCTCACACTTTCTAACTAGTTTGGGAGCACAGGAAGACTGATATTGCAGACATATTGCACATCAATCTTGTGATCAATTGACAGCTGTCAAAACAAAGTATCCGCTGACCAGTATCACCTGATCGTATCGCGGGCTCAGGTGTCGACCCATCGAGGTCGAGTATCTTTTTGAAGTTATCCGCTGACAAGTTACTAGTTTTCAAATTATTGCAGGCTCAAGTTTAATTTTTCAATTCATATGAATTATGTTGTGTTTTATATGTGCCGCACAATTAAAATTTTGATTTCAAACTGACCTCGGAAGCTAAAAGTTAAGCCAGTTTTTACAGCCAGGGAGGACATGCTAGTTGATTTTGACTTTTCTCACCAAGGTCACGCGTTGGTCACGCTCTACGTCCAATTTTTATACTCTGATTGGCCAAAATTTGACAGGTGAGTTCACGCGGAAAATTTATGCAGCATCTTGAAACTTGTTTACTTTGACAGCTGAAGCTGACAGAGTTTTGTGTCAACTTGTGATGTTTTTAACTGTCTTTTTCCACTGAATGTACAAAGTGAAATTCAGCTGCTATCAAGAGTCTTCTGTAATTCATGGCTAGTTTGTTTACTGGGTTTTTGGTTGAGAAATACGTCGCTTTGGCAAAGTCGGAAATCCGACTTCGGATGGCATCGTTTTCGTTTTTCACCTTGCTTGATGCGTAAGAGGGATGAAAAGTCTGAAGCGATTCTTACCTTACTTGATAGTTTTCAGTGCATCTCGAAAGGTAAGCCTGAGTAATTATTGTATTTGATGTTTGTTGTTTATATCTAATTTAATGAAGTCGAGCGTAGTTTAAGCGGCTATTTGGTTTATGCACGTTTGTAAGATTTGAGACAATGATCTGACCGAGAGCGACCGAGTATCAGGTTTGATTATAAGCTTATGGAACTTTAAAAAGCCTTTAGACATTTTCTCACCGCAAATAGAAAGAAAACGTTCCAAAGAATATTTGGTTATAATTCTGGCTGTAAAAGAAAGCTTTGAGCGATTTTCTTGCCTCGAGTTCATCTTTGAAAAAAGCAAACACCGGGAAGCCGGCTTAAAATGTAAACAAGGATTTTCAGAGACACTTTAATACTTGTCTTCGTGAATGAAAATTGTTGTCTCTGTATATGTTTCACCGAATTATTTTCCCCCTCCTTTATTGATTGTTAGTAGTCTCTTTTGCAATTTTAATCGCTGTGCCGTTTGTTTTCAGTCGCTCATGAACATCGCTTGCAGGAGCAGTAGTCAAAATATCGCGCGTATCAAACGCTTTTGAAGATTGCAGATCGTTAAAGAATCATTAAATAAAAAATAAACATAATAAATTCTTTGTGTTGAAGCGTATAACTATATTAATCTTAATTTAAACAGTCGACTTGTCAAAAGTGAGAACCGGCTAGCCGTATAAGTGATTTTGGAAATTTTTTTGACGGTTTCGCTAAAAGCCCACGCGTGCTTCGATCGTCCTGAATATTGAATGAGTGCAATTTGTATTGCAAAAGTGTGAAACACTGCATTCTGTCCGAGGTCTGTACGATGAAAACGGCGCCTCATGGTACTGTTTCACCTCAGATGTGATGTACAAAAAGTATTAAAGGTTGGTTTACACGTCCCCAGACTTGTTGCCAAGATTTTGTAAAGTAAACATGTCGAACGCAAAAAATTCGGCCTGATTTGTTTTCCAGGCCTAATCTACTGTGATCAAGAGCCATTATGGCTCTTAAATGTGATCGAAGATGATTGCTATTTTTTGGGTGTACATATAAAGGCTATCAACTCGATGTAAGATTAAGTTCACTCTTAGCTTGGACTGTTTGCAAATTATTTTTCTCGAAAATCACGTAGTCTTTCCCTCAAAAGTCACATGAATGTGCCTTTAAGTTAACTGATTTGTGGAATACAAGTTTATTGTTTGATTTGAACCATAAATTCGAGTTAATAGGAGCTTCGCTTTTAGCCCTGGCTAAATCTATATATTATTATTATTGTAACGGCACTCGTGTGCTTTAGTTTTTGTTTCGTAGTATTTTTAGCTGTTTTCTCTATTGTAACCGTATTTACCTCACAATGATTTTTCGCTAGCCG